TCATCCCATGTCTAGTGTTCTGTAGCTTCTCCTACAATATCCACAATTGGAAATGTTTCACTACTCTGAATATTATTGTAGACGACAAAGCAATAATACCTGAGTTTTTAAACCCTACCCCAAATGAATTGTTTTATATAGACTCACTCAAAACAGACTCTTTAAGGTAGCTAGCTGCTTTCATAGTAATCCTAACTAAGTCATCTTAATGGTTAATCAGTTCCCAAAGAATGCCTGGTTCCCCATTTCTTATGTGGTTTCTTCAGAGAGTAAACATTCTCCTTTCCCTTCCAGAACCTTAATTCACACTGAAGAGCTTCTCATTAAGGTCCTAAAATTGTCTCAAATATCTGTGTATTAAAATGAATTTCCACTTTAAGTAACAAAGGTCATATAGTATTACCTCCTTACCACCAATATGGATGTTATATAAACACATGTGAATCATCTATCAAAAGCACAGTAATAAAGTAATTTAATCATATATGGCTCAAGTCCTTGTTATTTAGAAGTTTCATAACTATTTTTCTTATTGTATTCAGACACTGGCGATATTCATGTGTATTCTGAGATACTAACAAACTGCAATCTTGAAGGACAGTGTTTAACCCAAGAATTGTATTTTTAAAAACACCATAGTCATATTCTTTCTTAAAGTGCTAGATGTTGAAAGTTTCTTAAAATAGCCTGGCGGTCGTGGCGCATGCCTTTAATCCCAGCACTTGGAAGGCAGAGGCAGGCAGATCTCTGTGAGTTCGAGGCCAGCCTGGTCCACAAGAACTAGTTCCAGGACAGCACCAAAGCGACAGAGAAACCCTGTCTCAAAAAAAAGAAAGAAAGAAAGAAAGAAAGAAAGAAAGAAAGAAAGAAAGAAAGAAAGAAAGAAAGAAAGAAAGAAATCTTAAAACAAGTATTAAGAAATTTTGCATTTTTATTCAAAAATATTTTAAATGAGAATACTAAAAATCTCATGACAATTCAGAATTGTTTGGGTTCAAAATTATGTAAAATGCAATCACATTAGGCTATGTAGCAAATTGTGTCTAGAATGGTAATAAGAAAAGGCAGAAGAAAAAGGTTTTAACAAGCATGACCTTGAATCAGAGAATTTTTTATATAATTTTTTTCCGTATATTAACTATGTTTTATCAATAGAACTTATCACGATTTCTAAAACTCTAACTTATTTTGGAGACTTATCATCATGGAAAGGGGAATAAATGATCGCTGATGTTGGAAGAGTGGGTTAGAGGTGACGACTGCTGCAGGTGCCACTTGTTAGAGAAAGGAAACTCGTGTTGGAAAACATTCAGCTCATCAACATGTTAAGCTGTGTTGATTATTTTGCTGAAACTTTCAATATTTTCTAGGATTTATATATTGCTAAAACCTGAAATGTGTGCTCTGGAGAAAAAAACAAGGATACGGGACTATAATGGAAAGGGTCATGGAAATTGGGGGGAAAGGGTCACTGGTAAGCAACATAGTCAGGTGACCTCAGGAGCAGGATGAAGTCTGAGCAAATTCTGGAGATGTGAGAGTGTCTGCCCAACAGCAAAGTGATGGTGCTATTACAGTGACTCTACTGTGCTTAAATAAACAGCCACATTGCTTTTTTTTTTTTTAAATGAAAACCTTCCAGAATTCTAGTAATACTAATAATACAAACTACTGCTTGACTTCTTCGAGATATTTTCATAAATGACCTGACCATGCTCATTATAAAAGTTAGCTTCTATTCTGAGTTGCTAGCTGAAATTATTATTCTATTAGGAATTTCTTCTGTATCATTAAGTTATTACCATGCTGTGAGTTACCAAGAAAAACTACTCAATGATAACAGCCCCATTAATGCCTCTAGTGAAACACTTAACAAGTTCTTTATTGATCTTGGTTCCAAATACATCAAAATGTTGGATCACAGCTTTGTTGACCTCTTCACCCTACTGATGTTCTCAGGAGCACAGCTCATATCCAGCTCAAAAGCACTTGTCCTTCACCTCTAGGTGGGAAGGAAAAAAAGTGGGGCTGGAGAGATGGCTCAGTGGTTAAGAGCACTGCCTGCTCTTCCAGAGGTCCTGAGTTCAATTCCCGGCAACCACAGGGTGGCTCACAACCATCTGTAATGAGGTCTGATGCCCTCTTCTGGCCTGCAGACAGACACACAGACAGAATATTGTATACATAATAAATAAATAAATAAATGTTTTAAAAAAAAAGTAATAAAATTGACCCAACTGCTAGATAATGGTTGTGTTTACTTGAGCTTCTCATTTTTAATATTTTATCTATATTATGAATACACTACTTGTCATTAATTTATCTTTAAAATATAGATGAGTTTTGACTCCATTTTAAAATGGGTTATATATCCAGAAGTGGTGATTCTGGATCATACAATTGATCTATTTTAGTTTGGAGAAGATGCTATATGAATAAAAATGTCACACTAAAAAAACGATTTGCATTATAATACCCACCATCTAAAAACCAAAAGAATGAATGTGAGGATGGTAGGAAGCAGTTCAAGAAATTCTAATTAGACCCTGCTGAGGGTTTAAATCTCAACTTCATTTGTTAACGGGGTGTCTCTTTCAACTCACGTAAAATTTACCAATGCCACATTTTCTTCTTTCAACAAAATAACCTACCAGGGAGAGTTGTTCTTAAACTTTAAGATAATCTGTGTGAACAATAATTCATTACTGACTAATTCAATGTTTACACAGGTTATATTTAATATCTATGTATATATACACATGTATATTCATAACTAGTGCTAACAAGCAACTGTATTTGCTCAATAAATGAAAAAGTCACCAATCTAGATTATCTTCCTGTATACGACCTGCCACTCAGGATAAAGAGATAAGTAATAAAAATGTGAATGAACACTCTATTGTATAAAAGCCCTAGATCCGATTTTACTACTCTCCATCTTGTTCAATTTACAAGTAAACAAATATCCTTTTGATTCAACACAGACTTCATTTAGTCACCTTGAGTGGATTTTATTCTAACTTCTGTGAAAACCTGTTTAAATCATGTTATTATGTTAAAAAATGTGTCAGGAGCTTTCCTTGTGACTAAAATGAAGTCAGGCTGACTTCCTAAACAAATGCGCACTATTTTTCGTGAAGAGAGTAAACCATGAGCATCATGATGCCTACATCCACCTGGCATGTGTTTCCATTCTCGACTATAACAGAATACAGTCTTTCACCACTGAGATTTCATGTCCAGAGTCACTGTAAGGCCCAGAAGGAACATATAATGCTTTGGATAAAATCTATCATGTGATCCGTAAACAATTTAATTAGATCTATAACTAACTTCTTAACCTAATGAAGAATGAGATAAATAGAATTTTTCCAGAGGTAGGTAGCACGGAGTTGAACTGAATGCGTACAATCTACAGCATGATGATATTTGCAAGTGATTAAGGTAGTATCTGTGTCTATTATTTAACTCTACTGTGGCAAGGGGATAGTAACTAGAACATTTTAAATAATATATGATATAGTCAGTGTTTTCAAATTATTTAATTCTGTAACCAATTCTGACTTCTCATTATAACATAAATGTGGTTACATATGTTAAGTAATGTCTCCCATTTATTGTAAATAAGACCAAATAATTTGAAAGGAACAAGGGATTCTTGTACTAACTAAAGTAGGAAGCCAGCATTGCAGCGTGCCATTTCCAAGTCCAAAGGTTGTCAGACAGTGCATGATGATACTATGCCCTCATTCCTATTGTGGCATGACATAATCCAAGAAAATTAAGGTGTAAGAACTTCAATACGTTATGTTAGATCTGGCAGAAAGATAGGAAACATCAATCCTGTAATGCGTGTGGTCAGCATGTACGAGATTCATTTTGGAGGTGAGACTGTGTCCCTGATGCCCTTGCAGAGAGATCTGCCATGTGCTGAACAGATTTTTCTCTTACATTTTTACCTAAGACATTATGCTCTAAAGGTGTTCCATTGACCTGACTTACACTTTTGAGATACAAATAGACTCACAGTTTCCAAAGATAATTTAATTACTAGTCTTTGATATTATGGGCAATATTTATCCTGTCAAAATTAAATAAATCTGTAGTGTGTTGTTATGAATTCTGTTAGAGAAAAGTCCATAGCAGGATTTCTTTCTGTTCTTCAGACCTGCCTAAAACACCAAAGAAATTTAGTCAAAATTATTCTCTGCGAGGCAGCTCTATAGAGTAGTAAAAGAAGTGTTTGTGAACTGAGCACAGGCTCCTCCTCTAATTGATTATACTCAAGCTCATAAAATGTGGAGTAAATGAACTGCATACATTTCATCATGTGGCTATAAAAGGGATTCATGGGAGGTGACTAGATTCATTACTACTGATATTGAAAGCTTACAGTAAAAAATTGGGAGGTAAATTTTTAAATATGTATTTCCCCAATGTCTCTATTATAAAACAGTAAAAAAAAAAACTCACTAGAAACAGAAAGTTTAAATTTTAACCATATGCTCAGAGTTCATATATGTTCCAGTGCCAAACATTTCCTTTTCTTCAAACCTCTTTCATTTCATCCTCTTTATGAGAATCAATTATTTTGATATATTACTAAAGCTGAATTAAACATGTGCTTGCAATGCCGGGAATTTCCTAGCCAACACCACGCTGAGTTCTTGGGGAATCTCAAAGCCTAGTGCTTTACTGGCCTCTATTGCCACAATCTCAGAATGACAATTCCACACAGGAGCTTCAGTAGCAGTTTCACTTTTGAATTTGTTTAACAAAATACAACATCTAAATTGCCAGCAAGAAGAAATAGGAGCGGCGGGGCTGCGTCCCCAGCACCCGGCCGCCCGCATGGCTAGCTTATGCCCGAAATAATTACACGGAAACTGTATTCTTTCAAACACTGCCTGGCCCGGCTAGTTCCAGCTTCTTATTGGCTAGCTCTTACATATTGTTCTAACCCATTTCTAATATTCTGTGTAGCCCACGAGCTGGCTTACCAGGGAGGATCTTAACCTGCGTCTGTCTGGAGCGGGAGAATCATGGCGACTCCTCACTCAGCTTCTTTTTCCCAGCATTCTCTTCTGTTTACTCCACCTACCTAATTTTCTGTCCTAGGAGGGCCGAGGCAGTTTCTTTATTATTAACCAATGAAAGCAACAGATAAGATACAAGACCCACCTCCATCAGGAATCTAACATTTCTAAGACTATACTTATTTTTGAAATAACTCAGCTCATATAATTGTCATAAACAGACATTTAAATTTTTTAAAAAAACATTTTCTGAAAACTTCTTGGTTGTACTTTACAAATGAATTATATAATAATCCCTATTTGGATCTTGTATTCTTAGATATATAAAACTGAAGATGATCAGACAGGGATCTTTAGAGCATTTTGCCTAATGGAATCTTAATATGCACTTCTTCATGATAAAGAGATACTATGTTTTCAGTAGTTTACATATGCCGTACTGCAACACACATTCAGACCTGGCAAACTCAGAGGGCAGAGCATAAATCTCAGTCTTCATTGTATGGAGATATCAATAATGTAAATATCAATACCACTGAAGTTCAAACAGAAATATAAGGCAGTTTTATGCATCATGAAAATCCAAGCATACAATATTAACAGAGATGTTGCAATCACCCGGAATTTCCTTAAAAGTTGTTTGTATAGGTAAAGATAGGCCAAGTCATAAAGAGATGCTTTGTTGAGTACCATTATAAGAATTGAATTGAGGGCCTGAAAGATGGGTCAGTAAACAAAGGCATTTGCTACCTAGCCTACATATCTTAGATGTCCTATATCTACATGAAAGTAAAACTTCTTCAAGTTATCTTGTGACTTTCACACTTGTATCCTGGTAAGGGCAAACACACACAAATACACGCACACACACACTATATCAGTAAATACATAAATGCTTAAAATAAGGACTGGGAATGAGCAGAAATAATTGCTATTTTAAAAATAATATTATTAGCTAATTACTGACACAGGAAGGCCTGACATATCACATCAATGATAATCCAGATAGTCTTTCTAGACAAAACATTATAAAGTAAAACATGTGTGCTACGTACATATATTTTACATAAAAATAACTTAATTAATAGGCAAAAATATAGGGGGGAAAGAGGGTATAAATTTATGTAACCAATTCTATGACAAAATTTTGTTCTGAGAAAGCTGAATTCCTGTTTCTGTTCCATGATTACTCCTATCTGACTCAAAATAAAAGTCTTCTATACCTTTGGAGTGAGAACTCTTATGCATTTCAAAGGGAGTTAGATAGGTATGCTCCTTATTTATAAAACAAAGAGTTTATTTATATTTATGGCTCCATTGAGATTTTAATTTCTGTCTTAGTTAGGGTTGCTATTGCTGTGAAGAGACATTATGATCATGACAACTCTTCTAAAGGAAAACATTTAATTGGTGCTGGCTTAAGGTTTCAGAGGTTTAGTCCATTGTTCTCATGATGGGAAACATGGATGCATAAGGGTAGATATGGTGCTGGAGAAGGAGCTCAGAATTCTACATCTTGATCCACAGGCAGCAGAAGGAGACACTGGAGTAGCTTGAGCATATAAGAAACCTGAAAATCTATCTCCACAGTAACACACTTCTTCCAACAAGACCACACCTCCCGGTAGTACAACTCCCTATGAGCCAAGCATTAGACATTATACATAGACATAACTCCATGGGGAACATTCCTATTCAAACCACCACAACTCTTCATGTCAAGATTGCAAGGCTGTAAACAGTCAGGGATTGTACCTGGAACAGAACCTGAGAATTCATATCTTGGAAAGGAAATACCAAATAGACAGAGAGCACTAAAAATGGACTTGGCTTTGAACCCTCAAAGCTGGCCCTCAGGAACATATTTCCTCCAATAAGGAAGCATCGCCTAAATGCCTCCAAACAGCCTCATTCAAATACATGAGTCGATGTGAGACATTTTCATTCAAATCACCATTATAGGTCTGAAGGTTAAGGATCCATTTCCAGACTAAAAAGATAGCCAGCGATAGCCTTATAGAGATAGTGATATTTGAACAGAGACTTAGAAGTTGTAAGGAAATTTTAAAATGTGTGTAAACATGAGGGAAAAAATTCTAGGTGAGAGAATAACAGTTGTGGTTGTGGTACACACCTTTAATCCCAACACTGAGGAGGCAGAAGCAGGAGGATGTCTGTAAGTTCCAGGCCAGTCAGGTGTACAAAGTGAGTTCTGGATCAGCTGGGATTACACAGAGAAACTCTTGCCTCAAAACACCAAACCAGCCAAACAAAAAGAGGAGTGAAAAACATAGAATACTTTAGCCCAGTGTAGTCTGGTGTTAACAGGAGCCTTGAGTCTGAGGCAGAGTGAGTCATTATATTTGTAATAGAAGATTTTCAAGAAGGGAAAATGGGTGATAAAATCACGGCAAAATACATAGTTATAGAGATTTTGGTAGTTATTGTAAAAATCAAAAGGTCTACAAAAGACGGTTACCAAGTGTTCCACGATTAAAATCAAAAAGGCATTGACTTACCCGTTTATGGTGAAGCAAACCTTTATTCTCAGCATTAAGAGGCAGAGGCAGGCAGATCTCTGAGAGTTTGTGGCCAGTCTAGTCTACTGAGTGAATTCCAGAACAGAATCCAAAGATGCAAAGTTATACAAAGAAACCTTGCCTTGAAAAACAAAACAAATAAAAACATAGGTTTAATAAGACAGGAAATTTGTGGTTAACTAGGCAAAATAGCTTTCATTCCCAGCTACAGTCTACTACTGCCATCACATTCTACATATAATTTTAAGTTTGGGTCTAGCAAAAGCTTCTATAAAGATTAAATATAGGATATGAGAGAGAGAAAAAGATTACATGAAATGTTTAGAAAACGAAATTGCAACAGTTCCTATAGGAAAAACAGTAGGAGGAGCTTAGAAGTACGAAGCAGGACGTGCTGTGCATCAGATTTGTTTTATTTTAAAAACCTATTTAAATGTTTTAACAACCAGAGGCTTGTGAGGTGAGGAAATTCTTAGAAAGCAACCTGGCTTCCTATAAATCAAGAGAAAGATATGCTCTAAGACAGAAATAAACAATTGCATGGGATGTTACTAAATGCTCTGATAAAAAGATTGACAAATAACAGAATTAAGAAAAACTTGCTGTCAGAATTGTATAAACAAAAGCAGATGTGAAGAAACCGGAACCTTACAGCATTAGATAAAATATACCTAAAAGATAAGGGTAGATTTCTGGATAATCAAATTAAAGAGGTAAAACAGCATGAATTCTAGCACAAAGTAGATGTGATTTTTCAGGTTAGCAATGTTGATAACTGAAGGCATAAAAGAACAATCCAGTATCAATACCCTCAGCAAAGCTCTTTCTAGAGTCACAACCTGTCCATGCCTGTCTGTCACTGGGAGTGCTCACCCATATCTGTGTGTCACTGGGAATGCTCACCCACACTTGTGAGGGATAGGGAGCGCTCACCCACACCTACATAGGATTGGGAATGCTCACAACAGAATGTGGAGAATCTGGTAAAAACATTTGACTTTATTTTCCTCTGTTGAGTCCAAGCTTCATGGAAGCACACAGGGAGGCATTCTTCAGAAGCCTCTTATGCATTCCATGTTTCCTCTCTGTTTGCCTCTTCTCCCATCAAACCACAATCAGGTGTTGGAAGGAAGCCGCTTGTTCATCCCGGACGCCCAGAATAGAAATAATCACACAGAAACCATATTATTTAAATTACTGCTTGACCCATTAGATCTAGCTTCTTATTGGCTAACTACTATATCCTAATTTAACCCATCTCCATTAATCTGTGCATCACCATGAGGTCGTAGCCTACCAGCAAAGTTTCAGCATGTCTATCTCTGGCTCCGGTGGCTACACGATGTCCCTCTGACTCTGCCGCCTCCTCCCAGCATTCAGCTTAGCTTTCCCTGTCTACCTATGTTCTGCAGGTTCAAAGCAGTTTCTTTATTCATTAATGGTAATCACAGCACACAGAGGGGACTCCCACATCAATCAGAAGTAATACTTTTGGGGTTATTCTAGAAGTAAGTTGCAACTTCTGTAGGTAGAGAAATATACTAGAAGACTTGTCTTGTGTTCCAAATTTTAGTGATTTTCCAAGTTCCTTCCAGAGTCTCTTCCTTTCTGGCTGTGGCAAAGGGCCAATCTAGCTGGTTAACAATTACTAAATAGGAAACCTCTAAGAGTCAGTGGGAAGGGGGACTTGACCATCTTCTCTCCAACAACCTCAGCACCAATTAGTATGATGATGCCACAATAAAGGCAAGATTTATTCTCAATCGATACAAACATTGACTGGAAATAAAACATAAAAAAAGACTGTTTATGAAAGTAATGACTATCTCACTATCTGCTTTTCAGTATTCCTAGAAGCAAATTTCAGAGGAATGCCTTTCTGAGATGGAAGTAACAAATGTTTGATGATGAAAGGGTAAAACCTTTGTCAGAGCCTTAGTTAGGAAACCAAAACCAAACAGATCACCAATCCAAAATTAAACTCCTTGCATTTGAGGAGCCTGGATTTGTCACACTCCTGAGTAGGAAGCTGTAAAATCTTTCCAGGCAAATCTTGTTTGGAATCTAGTCAATTCACAATGAGAACATACTACAAGCATCCTTAATGACAATTTGGAAGTTCATTCTTTATAACTTGCAATGACAATATTGAAGGGCTTTTTAGCACCCTCAAGGACAGATTTCTGATTAAGGCAGTTCAAATGACAACTAAGTATGCATTGATAGAATAGGTCTTCTAAAATACAGAAATTTACACTAATAGAATATTCAGTTTCCTTCAGTGATTGCTACTCATTAACCTAAAATCAGGGCCAGATTAGATTGCACTTAGACCAGGATCTTTAACTTGTAACATTTGCATCCATGTGTATGTAATGTATCTATTTGCACTTCTCCTTGGTTAGTATGTAGGTGAAATCACAAATCTGAGAACCATAGAATTTTATTCTATGATGGACTTTAATAATTTTGTGACTCTTCAAAATATTCTT